ACGTAGCTTCTGCTTCAGCTTCCAGATACTTCTCTTCTCCCCCTCTTCTCTCTCTCCTCTTCCCTCTCTCTCCCTCCCTCTCCCGACACACAAAAAAAAGGACGCGGGGACAGCGGCGACGCCCTCGGCACGCGGCACGGCGACGCCCTCTGCACGCGGCACAGCGCTGTGCGTGCCCCCGCCGGTGGCCGTCCCCGGCCACGGATCAGCGTGGCTGGGCACCCCGGTGGCTGCCGCCGCAGCTTCCCCGGAGCTGCATCCTCCAGTCGTTCCGCGTGCGGTTCATGAAACCCTAGCTGCAGCCACGTCCCCTCCCCCGCGCCGTGCGTGCGTCCTTTTCTCTCCTCTCCCGATGTGGTGGCACACCAGCCGGCGGTCGTAGCGGCGCTGATCCGCACTGCCTCATCACTGTGCCCTAGGGCTGCCTAGCGTCACCCCGACCACCGTGACGTTGTGTAGGGCTGGGCGCCCTTGCCTGCGTCGCCGTCACATGCCCTAGGGTTGGCCGCCCTCACCTGCGCCGCCACCACGACGATCCCGACGAGTCGCCGTCACATGTCGTCGTCTCCGAGCAAACTGTGCCATGTGCGTGCCTGCTCCTGATTAACGGTTCTAGATGTCCAGGATCTTTTCCTTTCGTATTGATTCAGCTTTGGTTTTCACTATTGAATTTTGTTTCCAGGGATCTAGTGGAGATGTGTTGTCTATTTATTTTTGGTGTGCCAACTAATGTGCCAAGGTACCTTCGTGATGATGCCGGCTCCCCCTTCCTCCTCTAGAAATTGTCGCATTGGTAATTGCTGCTTTATCCATTTATTTGCTGCTTTATCCATTTATTCATTTTTCCCTTTCCTGATTATGTCCAGAGACGCCACGGTGCATTGTGGATTGTGGTGGACGTGCATACTCATTGTTTTTTGCAAGTTCATTGACAGGGATGTATTGCTTTTGAGAAAAAGTTTTACTTACACGCTGGTGTCAAAGGCAAGACATGTTAGTGTTAGCATTATATATCTTTGTTATGACTAGCAAAAAGATTCAGAGCCAGCATCGAATTAAAATTCTTTTTGTGCATACTCCGTGTTTTTCCCTAGCTGTTACTCATCATGTGTAGCATAGGTAAATAGAGCTGTTTACTTCATAACTGATTACTCCTCAAGTAGTCTTGCTGAGTTAGTTTTAGTTTCTCCTAATCTGTCGCCACATAACTTAATTAGTACATGTCGGTTGTACAATTACGTGTCAGGCAACTATTTGCAGATAACACTGTCACTGACAAGGTGACCTCACCGATCTATGCCTGAAAAATTGCTGCTCTACCGTTTTCATAATCTTTACTATCTCGGAATTTGGTAAACCATTTTACCTTTGTTTTCCAGGCATTATATGATTCATTGGTCATGCACATAGTCTTATTATCAGCCACTAATATACTGCTTTCATACAATTATTTTTTAATAATCTGAAACTACATGTACTTTCTGATGTCCGTTCTTACTCTTCCTCAGTACCTCTGATATATATGCAACCAACTGTTTCTTAGACTACATACTTGGTAATTTTAAAACATACAACAGATCATTCCTTACTTAGTGAAACTTTTAAATTTCTTAAAAAGTTCATTAGATTCCTTTGCCAAACTGTGTCCTGCCTTGATTCTTAAGCCATTTAATTAAGATAACACTGAAGCAATACCATGGTTAATGTAGAACTAAATAGCTTCGTTGCCATACAGCCATTCTATTCCAATACAATGATTTGTTCAGTCAACAGTTTTTATTTTCCCTCAAAGCAGGTCACAGCACTTAAGAAGGTAGCGGCCTCACCCTTTTGCAACATGCGCAGGATCGTACCTGACACCTACAAGATGGGTCATATTTCCCACTGTGCAGAGAAGCATAATACCAATTTCCAGGCCTGTTGATTGTATAATAGCCAGGTCGTTGCAATTTCATCTACCATTAGTTAGCTAGAGCCATCTGGCGCTATCGCAAACTTATATGCCTGTTTATCCAGACACTTAAAATAGTCATGTATGCTACCCGTACTGATATAATATTATGCATCAAACTGAATGTGCTGTAATCGTTCCTCGTATTTATGGTTCTCTGTACTTTAGCTATGAAATCCCGGAACAAACATGCCACATCCTTGTAATTCCACAGCTAAATCACCCTTACCATCCCCTGGATAATTACACGACCGTGCGCACGATGGCGCGCTCCCTACACTAGTAAAGACTACAATCTTGGAGTCCAAATTTTGTTCCAAAAAAATTTACCCTTGTGCACATGCACTAGAAATGTCAGCACGTTGGGCCCACCTGATTGTAAGGCCGCACAACCCGCACACACGAACGTGGCACCCCATCCACTCGTTCCCGGCCCCACAGCCCTCACACGAACCAGGCCTCACGTATGTGTGCTCAAGCAAAACCAAATAGGCTGGCTGCGCAGGTTAGATAACTGTACATAGGAGCATTTTGGTAATTTCGCTAGGGCCATTGGTACCTGTGCCTAGTCCTACAATTGCTGTTTTTTTTTTGTTCTGGGCGCGGGTGGGCAAAGGGAGTACACAAAGATGGGCTCGTGGGCAGGGATAGACGCGATCACGCGAAGAGAAACTATGTGTGCGATTGGTTAGTTGTCTACGTTCTACTGGGCCAGACTCTGGGGATACAAGTTCGTAATTGTTGGTTACCGGTATTATATTATTGTTTTCTTATTGGCGGTTCATTTTGAACTTCTTAGTGCAGCGAGACTTATTGGATGCAAACACTTACCCTACTAATAATCTTTTTAATGCACTTCAAAGAACTTTACTTAAGACAATGGGCCTGTTCACTTGGAGGAATTTGGATGGTTTGGAGGAATGCTGAAGGAATTTGTGAGAGAAAAACACTGTTCCGGATGAAAAAAGAAGCGGGTCAAGCCGAGTTTAAGGGCACGCGAACGGGGCCAATATGATAAAAGGATAAAATAAGGAAGTGTACTTCTATAAAATAAAAACATGGGTGGTAATCTTGCATTATTTCTATCTCACGCAACATAATTTTTGTAGTGATAAATCTTCTTAGCTAGGCCAATATATAGGATACAAGCTACAATTGCACTTACACACCGCGCTCAAAGTTGACGGGCTAACCAGCTGCTTTCGAGCTACGTACGTCAGCATGACAAGTTTTTCTTTCAAGAAGGACTGCAAAATTTCAGCCCTATTCGATTCGCTGAAATTTGGCTTATACTGATATTTATGCTGATTTGTTATGAGAGGAAAACACCGTTCATTCGCTGAAAAGTACCGCTAAAGTAGTTCGCCTTCATACTTAGAAAGAAATGCAAAAAATAAAGGCTCCATTCGCGTGCCCTTAAATCCGGCTTGATCCACTTCTTTTTTTCATCCGGAACAATGTTTTCCTCTCACAAATTCCTCCAGATTTATTCAAAACCATCTAAATTCCTCCAAATTCGTCCGTATGAACGGGGCCAAAAGTACCACCGGAGCTACAATACGGATTAGCGTGCAGAGAAACTGTGTCCACAGAAGAGATGGCCACAACCACAAGTTTCAATGTCTCCTTTGCAGCAGGCTTGCACACGTTGCATGCATGACAGCAAGGACATGCAACATGCAAGAGAATTAATTAGGCAAGAATAGTGCACACACTTTCATGTGCACAAGCTCACCCATTTTTTCGTCATGAAAAAGAAGTGCAAAGGTGGTCACCTGAAAGCGATAGATGGACAAACTCGCTGAGCAACACACGAAAAAAATACTTCAATTCAGCTTTACTGTGACGAATATGGCTAACCAAACATTATATTCAACTCTGCATGATCATTATCTAGTGCTCCCTCCGTCCGCAAAAAAATGCAATTATGAGATGCGTGTCAGTCAAATTGACTTAACTTTAACCAAGTTTATAGTTAATAGTATTAATATTTATATTTTTAAATAAATTTATTATAAAAATATATTTTATAACTAATCTAATTATACTTATTTTGTATCACAAATGTCAGTATATTTTTACATAAATTTAGTCAAAATTCAAACTATTTGACTTATCGAAAAACGAGAATTGCATTCTTTGGAGGACGGAGGGAGTATGATGAAATAAACTGCCTACCATATTATGCCAAGATGTAAGTAACAAAGGTCCAAATCCTGTCTACTCCTCCCATCCTAAAATTGTGTCATTCTGACTTTTCTATGTACATAGTTTATAATTACTAAAAGCTATGTATGTAAAAAAAGGCAGAACAATTTACACTCTGGAACGGAGAAAGTAGCATGCATGCATCATCTTTGTGAACCGGTCTCCCAAATAAAGCAAACAACACGAGAGAAATAAACACGGGGAAAATATAGCGCGCGGAGTGCTGAGTGCATCGATACATGCTGAAATTCGCATGCACTCCTCATTGCCATTTTCATTCTTTCTTTTTTAAATTTCTTGGAACCGAAACAGAGGCGATTAAAACGTGGCTCTATGACTCTAACATATAGCAGCATGCAAAATTTCAGGCACCTAACATATAGCAGGGCTCTTTTTCTACAGCCAAACAATGGCAAAATTACAAATCACCTGAACACCAACAAAAAAAAAATCAGGCACATGATGAAAATATAGAAGTGTAGAACTAGATGGCGCGTTCCAGTAGTACATAGGTATAGAGCTCCCAAGTTCCAACTGTTGGAATCCGTAGTGTTTGTTCGTTATAACTGCTGTCAATTGTGAATTTAAAAGTGAGTTGATTGAAAAAACTGAAGGAACCTCAACTGAAAACAGCATCTATCGTTGAGCAAAATCGAGGACGACGAGTCGACGACGACGACGACGACGACGGCCAGTGCTACTTCAGTTTGTTGGATTGGACGATCTTCGCCGCAGGGATGTTGTGTTGTCTCTACATGCATACATGCATGTTGCATTGGGTCGCCCCATCCCACTCCCATGGGCCACGGCAGCGGCGTTAACGTTGCAGCTGCCTGCTACGCTACACCGACCATGTCCTGCTGCGCAGCTGGGCCAGGGACGACGACCGCGCGGACGACCGGCCTCTGGCGAACATCTCGTCGAGGGCGATGACGAGGCCCATGGCGAGCGTCGCTCCCAGGCGTGGGTCCGCCACCAGGCCAAACACGTCGTCCCCCAGCACGGCCTCCTTCCGGCGGACCTCGGCCACCACGGCGTCCCTGCGCGCGTGGTCCCGCACGACGCAGGCCCGCCGCCCGTAGGAGCCCTCCACCACGTACGATGCCTCGCGGCCTGACGAGGAGGAGGCTAGCAGGGGCGTCACGTTGGCCAGCACCTTCTCCTTCGACGACGCCCTTCTGTGGCGGCGCACGGAGACGAGCGGCTTGCTGTTGCTGCGCTCAGCCTCCGCGTCCGCGGCGGCGTCGCCGTCGTAGATGACCCAGCGCTCCGCCAGCACGCCGAGCCTCCTCTTGCGGCGGACGGTCAGGAGCGGGGTGCCCATGGCGTCCATGAGCACGACCTCGGCGCGGCGGCGGCCGGAGGCGTCGTAGGAGTCGACGCGGAAGGCGAGGTCGCCCCTGGCATCGTAGACGGTGAAGCCGTCGCAGTTGAAGAGCAGCGACTTGCGCCACACCGTCAGCACCGTGGGCGGCGGCTCCTCGTCGGGCGTGACGACCGTGACAGGCGCGGCGTGCTCTGGGTCGGCGGCGTTGGGGTGCACCTTCGTCTTGGGCATTTTTATTTCTTGTCCGCCGGCCGGCCGGCCTCGCTCGCTCGATCTAGCTTGTGGTAGCCTGGTAAGGCAGCTCCGTGCTGCGTGCAGAGTGGAGACAGAGGCCTGTCCGTGCGTGCTTGTTGTGTGTTGGGGAGCTTGGGATCGAGTGATTAGTTTGCCGGAGTAGCGGAGCAGTGCAGAGATAGAAGAGGAGTTGGGAATTTATACAGGATCGTGGTCGCTGTCGCTGGGGCCGTGCGTGGCGTGGGCGGCTGGGACCACAATCCTGGCCCTCCTGGCCCTGGCCTCATCAGGTCAACACAGAGCATGGGACCCATCGCACAAGGCCACCGCAAGCTATAGAGTAAGGAGTAGGGATGAAAACGGATCGGATACGAACGGATATCACCGATATTACATTTGTTTTCATATTTCTGTCCGGATTCGGATTCGAATACGGATAGTGTCAACTATGTCGGATAGGATACAATTGGATATCGACATCATAAATATGCGATTTGAGTATTCGGATACGGATACGGTATCGGATGTTGGATATCCGGACTCGGATACGGACAGATCTTAACCCCTCTAAACGGATTCGGTTTCGAATACGGTCGGAAAATATCCGTACCGTTTTCATCCCTAGTAAGGAGGATAGAGAAATAGAGATAAGGCTCAACCGCACAAGGCCAAGCGTGGCCGCTGGTTGCTATCTCGTTGCCTTGAGATTTAGAAAGAAAAAAAAAAGGTACAATGGACATTTTATCTCTTTGGGCTATCAGGTGAATCTATTTTGCTAAATGGTCCATAAAAACTATATCAACTCCCCGAGTGAATCTGCTTCATACATGAAGTCACAACCGAAGCTGTTTTGACTGGAGCCGGAGCTCTACCAAACGGGCCCTTAGTACGACCAATGCGCTAGGCGCTAGCGCTACAGCTATAGCATGAATCATGCAAAGAAAGAACCCCGGAGAATAGTACTCTCGCTCCATTCCAAATTATTGCCTCCATACCTCAATAATAAATCAAAATCCCTAGAGTTATCTTAGATTAAACTTTATTAAAATTAACCAAATTTATAGAAAAGAAAACACAAAGATTACAACACCAAACTAGTATTACCAGATACACCATAAAATATATTTTTATAATGTGCTTATTTAGTTTCATAAATATTTGTGTCTTTTTCTATAAATTTGGTTAAACATAAGAAAGTTTGATTTAAGACAATTTTAGAAATTGATTTATTTAGGGACAGAAGAAATAAGTCATTCTCACTTCATTCCAAATTGTAAGTCATTTTATCTTTTCTAAATACATAACTTTAGTATGTACGTAGACATAACATATAGTATCTAGGTGCATACCAAAAGCTATATATGTACTTAGAAAAGCTGAAATGACTTATAATTTAAAACAAATAGAAAATAAACAAAGAAATTGTTGTCAAAAGTTGTCCTAACAAAGTGAATTACGTCAGCTAAAATACTAATAAGAGCAACTCTAACAGTAGCGTTTAAATTAGGAGCGACGAATAGGATTTAGGGCTTCCCTTATTATTTTAGCCCTCAAATAACTGGTCCAACTCCAGCAACAAACTTTGAATTTTGAGCCTCTACTCTCTTTCTTTCTCATAGGTAGGACTCTTCTGCGGTGGTGACAATTTTCTTTTTTCTTTTCTCTATCCTCCCAGCGCCCACACAGTAGTTGTCCTACTGCTTCACCCAACACTTCCACTACCGAAAACAGCAGATTTGTCGAGGGCAAATATATTTGCCGAGTGCATTTTATCGGGCACTCGGCAAACAAGCTCTTTGTCGAGTGCTGCAAAAAAACACACTCGGCAAAATAATGGCACTCGGCAAACAAACTCTTTGTCGAGTGCTGAAAAAAAGCACTCAGCAAACTAAGAAAAAACACATAGCAAAACAGAGACACTCGACAAAAAACCGCCACGTGGACATCCGTCAGTTAGTGTGTCGGCCATTAGGAGTTTGCCGAGTGTCCGTTAGTGGCACTCGGCAAAGAAATAAGTTTGCCGAGTGTTTTTTCAGCACTCGGCAAAGATTTGGTATATTTCTGGATTTGTTTGTTATATTTAATTAATTTATTGTATTTCAAGGAATTTTTTAGTATAAGTCAAATTTGAACTACAAGTGATTCAAATAATAGAGTAAAATGAGTAAAAAAATGATATTCATGTTATTGAGTCCGGTGTGAGGCCTTATCCGGGAAATGAAAAGAAATTTCGAAGACTTCTTCAGGAAACACGACCACGAACGTGTGGCCGAATGATTTTTAAATTCTAAAAAAAGCAAACGAAGTCTGAAAATCATGAGATTTGTCAAGATCTCATGATATCATACGTGGAGGCTGTGGTAAAAAATTGAGAAGGTTTCGCACAATCTGTCATGTACGATGTTTACAAACCGAAGTATCCCGGAAGAAGAATCGTAGCGTTGAGAAGGATTCGGTAAGATTTGGAGTCAAAGTGACGGTCGAATTAGGGTTTGCCTTCAAAACTTTTTTGTATAGGCAATAGAGAACATAGATTGTTTTATGTGAAATTTTGGTAATTTTTTGGATCCGTTTGATAATTTTAATTGATTAAGTGCAATTATAGAATTTTAATTGATATAAATTGAATTTGAGTTATAACTGCACGAAATAATGGAATAATATTCGTAGAAAAATCAAATATATATTGTTGAGTGAATTTGACAAGGTATTTTCAAAGTACATCGGAACAAATTTAGAAAACACGTTATGGAAAAGAAGGAAAAGGAGAAAAATAAAAAAAAAACTAAGTTTGCCGAGTGCCCCTCATCTGGCCGAGTGTCAGATCTCGGACACTCGGCAACACCCCCCCCCCCACCGGCCTGACACACGCACAGTGACAAAATAAAAAAAAAATGGGTTTGCCGAGTGCCCCTGATCTGGCACTCGGCAAATCTGGTGTTTGCCGAGTGTTTTATTAGGGGCACTCGGCAAACCCCCCTTATATGCACCCCACGGCCGGCTGCACGCACACACACAGCCACTGGCACACCCACCCCACGCCCACGCCCGCCGTCCTCCCACACCGTGCTTCTGCCGCTGGCGTGCGGCCCCCGTTGCTTGGCGCCCCGCCCCCGGCGGCCGGCCACCCGGCCCCGCCAGCTCCTCCGCCCTGGCCCCGCCGCGCCCTCCACCGGCCCCCGCCGCCGCCGGCCACGCGCTCCCTGCGCCGGCCCAACCTCGCGACGCCGTCCCCGCGCCTCCTCCGCCGTCCTCGCGCCATCGTGCTGGAAAGATTGTTGTTGAGTTGAACAACAGGCTGAACAAGTGCGGAGTAATCAGTCCTCGTTTTGATGTTGGTGTCAAGGAAATTGAAGGGTGGACTGCTATAGGCTCCTTCCATCTCGTCAGGTCCGTTCCTTCGCCATTCGTGCTTGTTTCTAACTTGTACCAGACTTCCTCATGAATATTAGAATCATTTGTCGGAGCAGTTCTATACGGTCCAATCTTTAATCAAAATGAGAAAAAAATTGACTCCTAATCACAATCAGAAGGAATTGGCTCCTAATAAAAACTAATGGCAAAGGTTGAATCGGTCGCTTACCTCACAGTATATTTGACGCCCGTTGGATCCGAGCCAATTTATTCTAAAAAAAAAAAGAGAGGATCCGAGCCAATTGACGCTGATAGGCCACTTTGATGCTAAGCGAATCCTGCCCAGCGAGCATCTCACGGAACTGTCCCTTTTGTGGATCAACTCTTTACTAACCACAGTGCCTTTGCACACAAATACTCTGCTCCAGTTTTGATATGATCTCAATACTTTACCCAAATGCATGAAATGGTATTCTTGCAATTATTTAGGGAACTCAATTGTTTAAAGACACACAACCAGCCAATTCCATAATTTGCAAGATATATGGAAGCTGAGCTTGTGGAGTGCCCTGCCCTGCTTCATATCTGTTCGAGGGTCATGCTTGAAATTAAACATATATTATTATTATGACATCGAAAGTCGAAGTATTGTAACTTTTTTTTGCTAAAAATTAAGGGTGTCTTGATTGTACATATATCTAATTAATTTAAAAATCTACTACTACCTCTGTTTCTAATTAGAACACGTTTTGACTTTTCTAGATATATACATTGGTTTTACTATATATCTGGACATAGTGTATATCTAAGTGCATAACAAAAATTACATTGAAAAAATGCAGATTCACAGGTTACACGGCCGCCGCTCCCTACCCCACCCTACCGCCGCCATCCGCCGCTCCCTGCCCCGCCCTCCCGCTGCCCCCCACCTTCTCCCTGCCGTGTTTTTGCAAGGTATAAGCTGTGCATGTGGTCGTCAGCCATCGTGCCGTTGGTTTGCTGTGTATGAGGTTGTCGGCCATCGTGCCATTAGTTTGTTGCAGGTTGTGGTTACCTCACCATGAAGGGGAAGTGCTGCCAAAATTTATAATTGACACTATTATGTTCCTTTGTTGCAGGAGAGGCCATTGCAAAAGATCGTTCCCCACCGTCCTCGACTCGTCACTTTGCCCTACAGCAAGGTGAGGCATCCTACACCCCTCTTTCCATATGATGTGAAACATAGGATGTTTGTATATCACGTAACCTAGCTAGGCGTCTCCCGTTTGAAAAAGATAGGGTTGGAAATATGTAGATCTTTGCATATCTATAACCGTATCTGTTTAGAATTGTCCACGTTTTTTGGACAGCCTGAGGATATGTAGATGGGGTTAGTTTCCATGCTCTACTCTGATCCGAGACAGAGTTTCGGTAGCATCTTCCTAATGTTCTCCGGATACACAATCTCCATGCCAGAACGTGTATTTGGAGAACAACGGGGAGGTGCTGTCGAAATTCTATCTCGGATAGGAGTAGAGCATGAAAACTAACCCCATCTACACATCCTCGGGTGGGATTAGGACCTATCTTCACCTATTAGACAGTATAGGAACATGTAGATGCAATTGGTTTTTATATTACTTGCTGATATATTAGAGGATGGA